CCAGGAGGAACTACAAAAAATAAGGACCAGCCTATGTCCTCAGACCCAGAGGGTAAGGGATGTAGTGATTGTTGGGGCTTTTAATCTGGTCCAATCAGGGAGCTCTGGCTGACAGACATAAACAGGAGTGTCAGAGGTTCTGTTCACTCTGAAAGTTGGGTCTGAGGAAGCTGGATCAGTGTCCAGGACTTCCCACGTGTAAATAAAGAGTGACGTGGTGACGGCATACCAGCCTCTGAGTAGTTATTGTCAGAAAGGTTTTTTTAAATTTTGACCTGGCTACAATCCTGAAAAATGGGCCAGATGAGAAACCATAATCATTGCTACAGTGTGATGGGTAGGGTTCAGACTTATAATTAATTCTTAAAACATAATTCTTAAAGAATAATTGTTTCTAAATGCAATAGATGTAAATAAAATTAGTCAGTCCATGAAGGAAATGTAAATCATACCAATGGTAAAATACTTAACCATATACGTGTAGAGTGGTTAAGCATGCAGTTAATGGAACAGGATTTCACAGAAACAAATAAGAAAATAAATTGGCTTTTAAAGTACATGTACACTTAATGTACCCTGGACAGGTATGCAGTTAAGTGGAGAAGGCAATATAATGAAGCAAACTGTTCTTTATTAATACCACATTGGCAGTGTTCCCCTGTGTGCTAATTATGGCAGCATCCTATTACATTTCTGCAGCGGATTTAAGGTGATGAGATTTTTTTAAAGCTCCTGCTGTGCTGTCTACATAAAAGTTTTATCCAGTCACATTTCAGTTCACAATTAACTAAACTGACAGCATCTGTTAGTAGTGTTAAAGGTTAGGTCTTTCAGTTTTCTACTTAATGGTTAATCATCCCATTTTCCCCAGTAGGCACAATGAACAGACATTACAGATGGCAGATTAAAAATGCATGCATTTGAGCTGACTGCCACTGTTGCATATGAATGGAGCTCCTTTATCCTCGCTCTCCACTCTACATTATCAGATGATGTATTATCATGATGTGTCTTAAAATCAGCTTCACTGGAATGAACAAAAAGTAGGGTGCTGGAAATCTGAAACAAAGAAAATACATTGGAAACATTCTGTAGATCAGGCAGCATCTGTGGAGAACAGAGAAGTTGTTTTGGGTATTGAAACCCACTCACCTCCCAGCTGTCTTACCTGCTGACTGTTCACTGGAATGAAATTTACCTCACAAGTACTATTTTTAATACTGTAGATCTCTCTTTAATCATTATTGTTGATGGATAAATGTGTTTTTAATGCTATGAAACCAACAGCACTTATAAAATTGTGGGGTTTCTCACTAGAGCAAAGAACGTGACAGAAATCCACAGGGTATTCAAATTTTAATTATTTATGATGCTACTTCTGCTAATTGGTAGCCTGTCAATTCAAGGTGACATATGCATAAATAATATCATTAGATCACACATCTGACCTATTATTTTCCCAATCCAATTTTCTCCACTCTATCCCCCTGCCATCATTGTGTCCTGCTCGGATGTGTTCTGCAGGTGGAGGGAGCCTTCCAGCGTTTTATCCATTTGTGTCCTTATTTAACCGTCATAAGCATCACAGCTGAAATTAGGGGCCATGAAGATCAAGATCATCATTCATTTGGCACCCTGGGTGAAAACAACTCATTCTTCACAAGCCATTGATCAAACTTCAACAACAGCAACAATTTGTAGTTATATAGTGTAATGTAAAAAAATCCCAAAGTATTTCACTTGAATTCTATAAAGCATAATTAGGAGTGAGCCATGTTAGGTAATATTAGAACAGATGACCAAACGCTTGGTCAAAGGGGAAGTTTTTATGGACTTTTTAAGACAGGAAACAAAAAGGTTTAGGGAGGAAATTCCAGTGGTTAGAGTCTATGCACCTTGGTGCTTTTTGGCCTGTTTTTGAATGACTTTGAACCGACTTTGTATATGTAATTCTAGTTGTATCTTAAGTGTCTAAGGTTTCATAAAGTCTAATCACCACAACTTGCTGAATATTATTTGTGCTCCACAGTGTTTTGGCATTGTCTTGCCTCCGTATTACAAGTGCTGACGAGATTTAGAATTGGAATAATGAAAATGGAAATTTTCCTCTTCAGCTTCTCATCTCAGAAGCAATACCAACAATGAGTGCCAAGTAAATTTGAGTGTATCAGATAAGGAATGTCCTCTCCATATTGTGAATCTGAGGATTAACATTACCTCTCTGACCATTAAGTGAAATTCAGGAAACACATTCTGTCAACTTTGAGACATCTTCCATTGGACAAAAATTACTTTAACATTGATTTTCAGCCACCAGCTCCCGATAGTTTGGGTTTCATTCACTTAAAATCTGGGTGCAAATAAAACCTGCAAAATTTATGTCATGTTGGAATCTAGTTTTTCACTCTGTCTAAGGATTTGTTATTGATTTAATTTTTTTTGACTGAAAATATTATCAGCATCAATGCAAATTTGGATTAGTACTTGCTGATGTCATGGCATCTTTTGTTGTTAAAAGATTTGAGCTCCTGTACAATTTTGAAGTTGTTGATGAATCTGCAGAACATGTGGAGAAGATGTTTCCACTTGTGGGGGAGCCTAAAACTAGGGAAAATAAATAAGATAGTTAATAATAAATCCCCAAAGAGAAATTTGGCAGGAATTCTTTGATCAGAATGTGCTGCCATTGTGGGACCCTGTCTAACTGGGATGGTTGAAGCAAGTTGCATAGATATCTTAATGGGAAGTTAGATAGGTGGATGAAGAACAAATAAATAGATGGATCGACTGTTTAATATAAAAGAAAATGCAATGAAATTTCTCTCAAGCATTTGCACCAACACAATGAAAGTAGTCCTGTGGCCTCTGGGACTATGGAAACTTTATGTACCAGCAGAGACCTGTTGTGTTGAATGGCCTAATTCTGTGCTGTAAAATTCAATGTAACATGACATGATTGGCATCCCACCATATCAGGGTACTTAATTTCCTAATTTGTGAGGGAGTAGATTTCCCTTTGCATATATACTAAGCTAAGATTTGTGGTGAACTGTGAGAAAAAATATCACAAACTCTTAAACTTGGTTTATTCCTGTCTCATTGTTTTGATACCTTTCAAACTGCCAGTACTAAGCAGATAGGCAGAATAAAGGCTTCAACGTAATGAAATGATTGCTTTTAAGTAACAAAATATGAAGTATTGGACTGAAGAATGGAAGTGCAATTGGAAAGGTTAATTTTCTGGCATGGAGATTGTAGATGAGTGAAGAAATTTAAAAGTTCAGATACACATCATTGCAAGCCAGCTTTTCCACAGGAGAAAATAATTTTTTTTTAAAAAAGAGGCAATGACATTCTGATCGTCACATTAAGAGATAAAGAACGTAAATGCAAGGATATACAAAGGAGTATTAATGAAAGCTGATTTGCTAATACCTATCTGCTTGATGATTCAACGGGATGATAACTGAGATAAAGGGGAAAAATTAGGAAGAGACACTGGGTAAATTTGATCATAGTTACCTGAAGAAGAAAAGTTAAAGGGACTGAGGTGTTTGAAACAGTGAAGGAAATTGACAAGTCAGGGGAATTACTCTAGCCTTGAGATGTGAACCCAGAATGATTGATTGTAATTTTAGAACTGCTGCTTGTTTGGTTGAAAATAAACATAGGATGATCTATGTTCAAGTAAATGTGGAAGACTTTATTTGAGAACACAAATGATACAGAATCAATTGGTTTCACAAGTAATTTCTAAACTTACTTGGGTGTTTAAAGTTAGTTTAAGTGGCAGAACAGTTTCCATGAGCAAAATGGTTGGCTGCTATTCCAACGAACAATAAGGAAATTGGGCCTAAAAGTGTTAAAGGCATTGATTAGCATTTCAGTGTTGTGGAGCATAAGGCTATGAGCAAACAAACAAAAATTGTCGATATAGATAGGATGCAAGACGTAATGCACTGTTTTGGAACAGTTATGTTACTGAGTTTGTGCACTGTCTGGTAAAGTCTAAACAAATAGCCAAGGGTGAAAGTGAGGTAACAATCAGTGTGCAGATTTTCAGCTGATGCCAAGCAAAATAGCTTCGCTCTTGCCAATATTAAATTCTCAATATTATCAATGTGTATCAGCATCCCAGACCTCCTAAGTCTGTTCCAATTGAAGTGATGTTCATTTCACTCAGACGTTTTTCAGTGAAGTAATTTATAGGTATAAGATCGGTTTGCTTATCCTTATTGTACTTGGCTCCTCATCTGATGCAGCCTGTTATCATACCCAATACTGAGCTTCTAAAAACAGACCTAATGCTTGGGGCTATATTGCGATGCTTCAAGACTTACAGCCTCAAGGGACATTTAGTCAATGAGCTATGATCAGAAATGGCAAGATTTTGCAAAGAAAATCCAAAAAAAATCACTTTTTTAACAAAGTTTTTTTTACGTGTTCTGATTGAATCTTGCATCATTATGATACAAGGAGCTAGCAATGCCTCTTTAAAATCTGCCGTATTCTAAAATGATAGTCTTTTTTTCTGAGAAAAATGCACTTTAATCCTTTTAGATTTGGTGGCACCATAAGGGACTTATTTAACTGTTCCTCCTACCAGCTTTCTGTTCAAGTTCCGTTGATGGGCTGAAATCCAGTGAATGCTGAACATCTTGCCATGAGTTTTATTTGAGGACTGCTCACCACACTACCACAGAAATTGAGCATGACATGGCCTGTAATGAAAAAAAAAGTTGCAGCAAAAGACATTGGGTATATACATCATTGCCAAAGTGCCGCAAAGCCACCCATCCCCAGCCAAGCTACTCTGAATAGGATGCTTTGTTGCTATTGTGAAAGTAATTGGTGGTAGCACACCGTAACTCAATGATCACAATTAAAATAAGTAGAAAACATATCTTCTGTATAGCACCACCTTGATTGTCCTAACTTTACAAATTTGAAATGACTGCAAATGTGTCACTATTTATTTCCAATGTGTTTATTCTTTACAGGGAGATCCTGTTACTAATCATTTAGCTGCAAAGATTGTTGAAAATGTCTGTACCACTAATTCATCTCCTGCTCAAGGATTCATTACTGGAGAAATTGGTCTGTTGCTTTGGTTCTTGTTTACACATTCAACCATGGACTCATTGCGGGTGACAACTATTTCGGTAAAGTATGAATAAATTATCAAATAATTTATCACTATGCAGTTGTGTATATATACATTTCTTTTTGATAAATGCAAGCTCTTAAATAAAATTCATTTTCTTTTGAGGTAGGAATCCTCAAAATTTCCTTTTATCCAGTTTCTTCCATACTGGCCAAAATATGAACCATATCTGAGAAAGCAGAATAGATATTTCACTTCCACAGCTTTCTCTGTACAACTTGTTCATCTGACAGGACCGCCAGCTTGAGTCTCTTTGTCATGTACTCCTCTCTTCCATATTGCAGGAAAGTCACTACTCTGACTTGATGATTCCCAGCACCAGCAAAATTATCAGTGATACCCCTTTAAAGTGAAGGATCCAACCAAGTGCTACACTTAAGTGCACCAACATAGTGCAGTTATGTCATCCTTTCAAGTCAAATCCACTTTTATATTGTTTTCAACTTAACTGCTACTAGTTAAAATTTAAGTTATCAAAATGTATCAAAATTGATTCAAACTAATTCAAGGTAGGATCCTTGTAGTCAAAACAGTGACAGATCTTTCTCTCAATCAATTTAATCTGGATTTGAACCCAAAAGTGTAAGGACAGTTATCCACAAAACCCAGTTCCCAGGTGACAAACTGTGTCACTCTTGGCTAAACTGCTGTAGCATGTTCACATCTTTTCCCATTGCTTCATCTGTCTGCATTCAAGCCGTTCAGCTAATAAACAGTATTGATTGTATCCGTGGGCTTTATTTTCTGGCTGATGTTAGCACAAATTTTGAGAATGCAAAGATAAAAGGAAAACATACCAACAAAATAGAACTATCTCTCAAGAAATGTGCATTTTAATAAAGCTGCAGTAAACATATTTAAATCCCAGCTGATCTGGCCTGCTTGTTGAATTAATTCCTTATTATAAAGTAGCACTTGCTCTTAAAGGACTGTTCCAAATCAATCAGCTGGTGCAAATTTGAAGTGAACTGAATGGGAATTCAAAAACAATCAGAAAACTTTTCAGCCCTAAATTGTATAATGCTTTGTATTTGGTATTTAATTAAAGTGTATGTATAAAATATTTCTTTGGTCCCAACAGGCATTATGTAGGATTACTCGCCATTCTACTAGTGCTTTTCAAACTGTCATTGACAAGGTCGGCCTAACAGCAGTGCTAAATTCCCTAGTTGCTGGTATAAGCCGTGTTCAGCAGTACATGTTGACCATGTTTATTGCTATGCTGTCATCTGGTGTCCATTTGCAAAGACTGGTGCAGGAAAAGGTAGGGCACAAGATTCATTTCATTTAGTTAGCGTTTACTTTATCTCACTGTTTCTACTTGTGAAATATCTTCAGACCTGAAATTGAACTCACTTTTTCACAGTGAGGGTGTGAAACTTATTTTTTCCCATGTCTCATTATTTCTTTTGCTATCTGTAAAGGATGGAGATGTGGATAGCAGTTGAGTAGATGGCATGTATTTCTATTTGGAGGTTAACAGCTCTAGGCATTCACAGTGTTAAAAAGGTTTGGATCAGTTATACACGGAAACAAACAGCACAGGTTAGGTCATTGTCTTAAATTTAGCTAAAATTACCTTATACATCTTTTATCTCTTTCACCCATTCCTTAAGCTAATGACTCCAGTCCACCAAAATGTAATAGAACTGGATAACTTTGTTTAAACTATACACTGCAAATATAGCACATGTGCTGCGTTTCCATTTGAACCACACGACACGTGGCAGCAGCTGCTTGAAGCTCTGTCAGCCCTTCCCATGTTCAATCCAGATGCTTGAGCCATAAAAAAATGTACAGCCATTTTCGTACAAAGCTATCTTGCATACTCCTACTCAGCCTTGCATTCTCACTGTATTGAAAATAAGAGCTAAAATTTCCTCTCCAAGGAGATGGTGAGAGGGATGGAGACCTGGGGAAATAATTGAGCAAGGTGGCCTTGGAGAGAAACTCAGCCCTGTTCTCACTATCCCTGCAATTAACTGCTTGGCTAGAAAGGGTGACTTTCTCGACTTCTCAACTTTCTCGAGTAGTGTTCCACTAAATGCTATTTAAGGGCCTCAACTTGACATCTCTCCAACTACCTGATTCCCTGGTAGATGAGAAAGGTGGCTAGGGCAACTGGTATGCTGGGTTGGCAGGACAGATGTCCTCTAAACGCCCCCATTGGAGTCATGAGTGGTAGACAAAGGGGTGGTCCTGAAAACCACCTTGCCTCTTCCCCCTTTCCCAAAAACCTCTGCCCTTTGAGAAGAAGAAAAACCGATTTACCTTTTACATACTGGATCCCCTCCAAAGTAGACCATAACTGGCTCTGGTTGGCTGGCTGCTTCTGGTGACTAGAAATGACAGTATTGAGGTGGCACCTGATAGGTGTATTTGAAATCATATCAATTCTTAATTAACTGATGGTGAGCTAATAGCTCTGCTCTATGGTGAGTTATCTTGCTGGCCAGGGGACTGTGTTAGTTGTGACCTGATACACTTTCCCCTACACTTTGTTAAAAATGGGCAAATTCAGGTCTAAGGTTCATTACTGCTTCTGAACAAACTAACTTTCTCTTCAAGTCTGTCTTTCCTGCCTTTCCCTTACAATGTTTTCAAACTCATATTCAGCATCACTATCTTTACAAAACTTACCTCACTGATCCATGTTTAATAGGTATCCTTCAATTTGTGCCTTGATTCTTCTGTAGCTTTTTTTCATGGAAAATAACTAGACTAGATACTGCAGAACACTTTTCAATGTAAGTGTTGATACAGAATCTCACCTCTTTGCCAGTGCTTCTTGTGCTAGATTGATGATACTACTATCAGCTGACACAGAACACTTAAATACTACTGACTTTTGATACATCTGACAGGCTTCCAAGCAACAATGCATTTGGGGTCTTGGTTTCATAATATTCCCACACTCTTCTGCTTCCTTCAATTTTGAAAAGAGCATCAAGAAGAAGAAGAGAATAGGTTGTCATTCCATCAATTCTGGTCTTTCAGTAAGCCATGCACAGAAAGAGCTTGCAATTGCACATCACCTCCAGTCCTTAGATGTCCCAAATGCCAACAATCAATAAATTCCTTTGAATTGCAGTGAATGTTATTACAGACAAATATAACAGCCATTTTGTGGAAAACAGTACCCACATGAAGCACGTGAACAAATGTACAGTATCTGCTTTCAAATAGTGATGTTGAAAGGATAAAGGTTATTGGCTAGGAGACCCCCATTCATCTCTTCAAGTAGTGCCATGGAATCACTTGCATCCATTTCAGCAAGCATTTCAACACTGTCACCAGATGAGTAAATTAGAGGTTCAACCTAATGGTGTGGAGACAAGGATTAAAACCCTATCACCCAATAGCTGGTGAAATTTAAAAATCATTAAAAGATGAATATAAAACTAGTTTCGGTAATGACTGCAATGAAACTATCATCAATTGTCATAAAAATCCACCTGGTTCATTAATGTCCTTCAGGAAAGTAAATCTGCTATCCTTACTTTGTACGGCCTCCAGGTGAGTCCAGACCTGCAACAATGTTTTTGACTCTTAACTGCTATCTGAAATAATCAATCATGCCATGCAGTTCAAGGACAATTAAAGATGGGGATCAAATGCTTGCCAGTGACACCAACACCCCCTGAAAGAATAAATTCATTAAGATAGAGGTAAAGGATTTTATCTGAAATGTGTGTGCACTTGAATTTTGTGCTTTGGCCTATACCAAGGAGTCCATTGTGGATGGTTTAATTTAGAGGCAGGTGTGATGCTTCTGATTCGTATGTAAGACATCTGATACTGTAGCCTGTGCACTTAAATTTTTGAGGAAACTGTCTGCCTTAAAATTCACTTCTCTAATTAATTGAGTCAATTTTGCCAGTATTTGATGAGACATGTATTCTCACCATTGAGAACTATTAGCATTTGCTGTTCACTTTTGAGCCCTGCAACTTATAAAGTGTCTTTTAATTGCTCGTGCTTTGTGAACAGTTTGGAAATTGCATTGAACATGCTCAAATATAGCCGAAATGTAAAGTGGGAAACAGGTTCAAAAGGAGGAATTGTCAAAATCTGCAATGGACTGAACATTACAAATCTTGGTTCAGTGAGGCTCACAGTATTGCCAAAGCAGCCAAATCCTTGTCACCTGTAGCTTGGGGTGAAGCTTTTCCCTCTATTATTATGTAATGGTCACATCCTGCAAGACTATAAGAAATTGCAAGAACTGAGATTCAGCGCTATTCTTCACTTGCTTCTCCTTGTATCTGTAATTTAATCCAGCTCCTGTGAGATTTCTGCAATCCTCTAATCAAGGTCTCGTGCATCCCCAATTTTAATCATATCGTTATGGGTGACCATGATTTCACTTGCCTAGACTCAAAGCTCTTAAATACCCTCCCTATTACATGAAACCCAAGAAAGGATATACTTATCAAAGAAGGAGTGCAGTGAAGGCTCATCAGGATAGCAGAATTAATGCTCCTATTTTCTATGTTTACACCTCTCTGCCTCTTTCACCTTGCATCCTCCTTTTAAGATGCTGCTTAAAATCTACCTTTGACCAAGTTTTTGGTCCTGTAAACTAATACCTCCTAATCATACTCAGTATCATACTTCCTTTTATAATGTTACTATGAAGCTCCTTGTGATGTTTCATCCTGTTAAAGGCATTGTGTAAATATAGTTTGTTGTTGATGATGTTCAGCGTAAGACTGCAGAAAAGCTGCTTAGACACCAAGCAATCTGAGCAGTGCAGCATATGTGAAAACATCAGTCAGCAGTTCCACTTTGGAACAGCTGAAATTAAGAACTTACATGGGAAATCATGGGAGCCGGTCAACATTCCATGACTCTATGATGCAACATGCTGGAACAACCCTCAGTGTGGTCTTTGAGAGAGCTGAATGCATGGAATTGTATCCACTGACTTGGGAACAAATGCCATTTCTGACTTCATATCAACCTCATCATATGCTCAAATCTGACAGATTGTCACTAGTAGGTGACCAACTTTCTCACAGGTAGAGGGAGCTTTGGGGAGAGAGCAGGTCTCTTCAGGCTGTCAGTTATCAGGGACCACACACATTAAAATCAGACTATTTGACTTCTGTGCTACTCCAGGGAGTTGACCTGTCTGTCACTACTGCTCCCTGAAATTTCAACATTTGACTCTGATGCTTTAACACGCATACCAGTGGGGCTGATAATTGCCTTAGTTGCTGTCTTTGCTACTGCCTTCATCAGAAATCTGCACCCCAACTTTTGTTGGGTATGTCTTCACCACCAGAAGTCACTGCAAGGTGGCTGAATGTAAATCTGATATAGGAAAGGTAATTGATATAGGGAATCAATCAAAAAGGCTCATTCTCAAAATTTAATTCATATTGGTTCCAGTATCTGGAAATGATAATCATTTGGGCTACCTTAAATGGAATGTGCTGTTAACCACTTGAAGAACAGTGGATGCAAATACAAAATTAACATTATATTAACTGCTGTCCTGTGTCATTGAGTCAACAGCATCACACATTATGCAAAACTAGGTTAAAAATGTATTATGAAAATGTAAACAAAAATTGCTCCAGTGACCTTTGTTCAGACTTCTGGACTGGAAATGTTAACGCTGTTTTCTTTCCAAAAATGCTGCCAGACCTGCTGAATTTCTGCAGCAATTTCAGTTTTTATTTAAAATTCGCAGCATCTGCAGTTCTTTATTTTATTTTAATGTGTTATGGCTGCTGCTTTCAGTAATGTGATTATAGAAAACCCGGCCCTACAGTGGAGCCTAGAACCTATTATGACCAGCTCTCAGCGCACAGCACAAATTCGAATCAGTCCTCAAAAAAGAATGAGAACAGTAAATCCTGGGCTTTGAAACTTTGAAAAATAACCCAAAATTTTGTTTCTATATCATATCTTGGAAGTTACATGGTCAGTACTGTATTAAAGATGTACTTAATTAACTGATTTTAACTTTCGAACTGCATTGGCAGGATACCTCCAGATGTTTGGCCCAGGCCTGTAGACCAACAGTATAATTATGTTGCAACCATGTCTATTATCTGTGTGAAGTTAATTATTTTAACTGTAAATGTACACTAGTTTTGCAAAAAATTTAATGCTTCTGTAAATTCTTTTCATACATTTGTGGTACTTTGTCTCAGTACATTTATTCCTTCCTTGCAGGAATTTGTCACAAAAGTTGCTCGTTTATTGGAAAGTCCTTCAACAGTAATTCGAGCGAAAGCTTTCCTTGTCTTATTGGAAGTTTTAAGGAACAACAAGGAGATGTTGCTGCTTTGTTGCCAGACAAGGTAAACAGAACAATAATCAGAGTCTGCACACAAAATTAAGGTGTCATTTCACTTAATTTTAACAACTGTTAATCTGGTGGTGAAGCTTTTCCACAAACTACACAATTGTGGTTGTGCTGAATGCTAAGAATATATTTTACAATTCTTTTCAGTACCTGTTGAACTGCATCTGGATTCTTTCGATTTGATTCGGTCAATGTTTAATATGCATGAATTTTTGTTAAGGCTTTCAGATCACAGAAGAAAGACTGTTTTAAATTTTATGTAACATAAGTTTTTTTTTAAATTGGGGAAGCAAGTTGAAGGACTCACTGCTAAATACCACAAAGAACTTGAAGAAAATAATAGAATTTTGACTATTTTTGGTAGAGTACTGGTAACTTAGTAATACATAGTATCAACTAGCTATTCTTTTTCAAAACTGATGGGGTGGTAAAACGGATTGTCTGTTTACATTTCTGCTACCTATTAGTATGGAATGTTTATAAGGCTAATTTGAACCGACAGAAATTGTGCTGATCAAGAATTTGCGAGGAACGAGCGCACTGCCTATGTGATGTGTTAAGTCGGATGTCCATTTGATTTTGGGGCTCTGGTCTCATTTAAATAAAATTGCTATTCTGCTGTTTCCAAGTGAGCACCAATTGGTAGTACTGTATGCCAATTTGGTGGGGTGAGTCAGGAAACCTCGAAGTGCCTAACAAAGGTTTAAAAACCACAGAGACACTGACAGATGACAGGGTGACTTTTGCATGGACAAGAAAACATTCATTCTCATTTTAGTGGAAGGTGAATTGATTTTTAAAAAAAACTCAGCATATTCTCCAAGTAGCCTCTCAGAATTCCCATTAAGTATTGTTGATTTATTTGTCCTGTATTCCGTGCCATGCAGTAGGACTTTAGCAGTTAAGTTGCACAAGTGTAACAACTGGAAACCCAAAATTGCAGCAGAATCCTACATGTATTTCATTAGACCCAGATTTAAATACATATGTGAGACTCCTGGCTATTTTGAATAGAAATACAGATCACTTAAGCTACTGTCTGATGCAAATTGTAATAGCTTGCCTTGGGCAGAAACTCTGCAGAAATTTAGTTTTGCAAGTTTTGGCTTTCGAATTCCCTACTTGTGCTGAAAAATAGGGAGGCAATCATATAAAAATGACCCCTAGCATTATATTTGGAACTCACCTAAGAGAAAAGGATCCAGGTTTACAAATTTTCTGAAGAAGGGTCCAGACCCGAAACGTCAGCTTTCCTGCTCCTATGATGCTGCCTGGCTTGCTGTGTTCATCCAGCTCTACACCTTGTTATCTCAGACTCCATCATCAGCAGTTCTTACTATCTCAGATTTACAAATTGACTCTTTTTCTTACTTAGTCTGATTGCAAATGTATCACCTTGACATCCATAATCAGAGAAGCCTATGTCAACTGTATTTTATGAGTACAGTCATCTTTTACAATTTAAAAACTGAAAAACCAAATATGCCTTACATTTCCAGAAGAAGTGTCATTTTTACCTTCAGTTCTGAAGATAAATTATACTGGACTCAATGTTAACTTTGTTTCTCTCTCCACAGATGCTGCCAGACTGCTCAGTGATTCCAGCACTTTAATTTTTTATTTTAGACTTGCAGCATCTGCAGTATTTTGCTTTTAAATCAAAGTATCAATGACCCTGGTAGCACAAAACCCAATTTTATATTGCAGTGAGAGATAGTAAGAACTGCCGATGCTGGAGTCAGAGATAACACAGTGTGGAGCTGGAGCAACACAGCAGGTCAGGCAGCGTCAGAGGAGCAGGAAAGCTGGCGTTTTGGGTCGGGACCATTCTTCAGAAATGGAAGAGGGGCAAGGGAACTCTGAAATAAATAGAGAGAGGAGGGGTGGGGCTGGGGAAAGTAGGTGGAATGGTGATAGGTGAATGCAGGTAGGCAGTGGTGGAGATTGGTTAGTGAGATAGGAGGAGCGGATAGGTGGGATAGAAGACGGACAGGTTGTGTCAGGTCAAGGAGGTGGGGATGAGAGGGATGGGATGAGGCCGGGGGGGGGTTGGGGAGATTTTGAAACTAGTAAAGTCCACATTGAGACCATTGGGTTGTAGGCTCCCAAGGCGGAATA